TCTTCAGAAAATTTTTCTGAAGAAGGGTCTAGGCCCGAAACATCAGCCCTCCTGCTCCTCTGATGCTGCTTGGCCTGCTGTGTTCATCCAGCTCTACACCTTGTTATCTCAGATTCTCCAGCATCTGCAGTTCCTACTGTTTCAGAAGCAAAATGACAATGGCCTGACTCATGGTGCTGCCTTGTCCTCCAACTACAAAAATAATTTTAAGATAACACATTTGAAAACATGAAAAGAACTCCAATCTAAGCAAGTTAAATTGGAGATGTTTAAATATTTAGACATTAGTTTCTAAGCTCAGTTAACAGCCATTCTGGATAACCTACTGCTGTGGATCAAGACTGTGAAGATAGATTGAGTCTTGCTAATGTGATTGTCAATTTGTTTTCTAATCAGGAAACATCCCCATGGCTGGAAAGAAGAAAGAAATAACACTACAGGTAGGACTTGAAAAGAAAAGCAATAATCACAGATTGAATGGTCCCAATATATTTGTTACTCATTTTTTTTATCAAGCACTTCATAGATTCTAAAATTGCAGTTATTTTCACTTCTCATTTTGACCCAAAATGGATGGATTTTCTAAGCAATGACTTTTCCAGAAAATTCAGTATCTCTTTCGGTAGCATGAGAAGGTAGGAATAAGAGACAATGGGGATAATTTAAACCCTAATGACAGATAGGAAGGTTTGAACTTTAAGATTCTTATCTTCGTACCCTTCAGAAGAAATAATTGGCTTGCCAAAAACTGGACGATCATTTCCCCAGTCATGATGCACTTTTTAAATGATTTCAGTAGAGATTTGAGTTAAACGCATTCAGAAAGTATTTCCTAGAGCTCTAGGAATCTGCTAGTAAAGTGGAGGAAATAGAAATTGAGCAGTGTTTCACAAGAATGTTTCAAATGCAGATCTTCATTAAAGATTAATGCTTATGTTGCAATCTCTATGGGCTATTGTGACACAGTAGTGGTGTCCTTACCTCTGAGCCAGAAAGCCTGAGTCCAAAATCCCACCTGTTTCGGAGGTGTGTAATAAGATTGCCAATTTAAAATATCTCACATGGAAATTCGTTGCCTCGGTTTCTTTTAGCAATTATTTTTGAGCAGTTCTTATCAGGAAATTTAGAGGCTTTCAAATGGAAATATCATTCGGGGCCTGCCAGAAATGTTGTATTTGGTAGGACAAGTAGACCAATTACCATCCCTGGCAGCAATATCACTGTGTAATGGTTTCTGAAAATACAGAAGGATGAAATACACAAAACAAATCTTGGGACCGTAAATATGGAGAAAGCTGCAAATGGGGCAGCAGAGGGGCCAAGGTCATAGGAGAAAGACTCACCTTCCTTTAATGTATATGCAGATTATCAATCCCAGACATCTAAGAAGAACTCTTCCCTGCTGAACCCAATGGTCATGCTTTGCCCATTGCCTCATTTTTTTTTATCTCTGGCTCTCTCTAGTGCACTACCCAGCAACATCTCAAGATCTTCACAGTAAAGTGCTCACAAATGTATCCTGCAGGCCATGGATGGTTGTTCACCAGGGTGGTGACTTATGTCAAGATCTCTTGTGGCAACAATAGCCAAATTAAATGCTAATTCTCTCTTGCTTTCCATGGATACAGAGTACCATCAATTAGATATACACAGCAACCTGAGGATCAATGCCAGATCAATCATGTTGTTTCGTCAGCCATGGGGAATTTTGTTCTATCAATATAGAGTTGGTGTGCAACCACCAGATAAGATTCAATATAATGTTCTCTGGATGTTGTCTTGACCCCTCACTCCAATGAGGCAGAGATTTCCTTTGCAAAGAAGTTAGAGATGTTAAGCACTGTCTTGTTGGAGACTAGGGACAACACCTTCAAGCTTGATTGCTATGGGGAAACTGCAGATGAGACACAGGAATGCTACAATCAGTCATATGGTCATCCATCATGGTGCAAATCATCGACAGGTTGAGAATGCACTGATAGTGATGGCTTTCAGTGCTCACCAACAAGATTGTGCCCCATGATTATTTTATTTAGTGACTACCAGTCTCCAAAGTCAAGCAGTAGCGTCTTCATTTGCAAAACTTACAGTGATTAGTATGTTTGTGGGGGGACGCATTTGGGTATAGTTCAGCAGTGTTTGTGTCTCTCCACAAGTGCATAAGGAGTTTGTACTGGGAGCCCCTGCAGTGACTGTTGCCTGTGCAGTGTTCATGGCTTGACCTGAACCTGTTATAAGCAAGGAGTGCTCTCACTGTGGTAGGTCAAAGACTGCCATTCAGCAGGTGGGGTATGTCACGAGGAACTTTTTAGTGACCACTTTGATCCAGAGCATGACTCCTACAGGATCTTCTTCAAGATAGTTGCTCCATGTGTGGAGACTGAGTTGAAAGATGGGCACGCTTATGGATTGAACAGGTCATCAATAGTGGTAAGTGAGATGTAGCATGAATGGTGTCAACCAGTTTGTGAGTCTTCATCAGTTTGTGTTGTGTATGGGAGCAATGTTTGCAAAGACAAAAAGCAAGAGGAGGAAAGTTGAGTGGAGACTTCGAGTTGTAATGCACATTGTTCCTTCCAATTGAGTGTCAACAAGATGTTGTAAAAGTATCTGGTTGGGAATATTGGTTTGATTGAGAAATAAGTATAACTAATCAGGTAGGACACATAGATATTAGAACTGTTTAAAGATAAAAAAAATCAAGGCATTAACCATTAAAAACACCATCACAGCTAGCAGGAGATGCCAGAAATGTTAATTTAAATGTTAAAATTAATTTAAAACTTGGTCTTCTAAAATTTTGTGAAGCACCTTATCTGTCACGCTGTGATTTATTTCACATGCTTCATTGTTAAAGGAATTCTACACTGCTGTGCTGTTTACCACAATGTTCATATCTTCTCACATATTCTGAAATTCATCGCCAAACCTCACGTGTTCCCAGCCAACGCCACCTCCAATGTTATGTTGGTTAGAAATTTAGCTGGTTTCCATTTCTCTGTTATTTTGTCTTCAATTATTCCTTTCTCTTTACTGTAACAAACCAACTAAAATCAACATAATTCAAACATTAATTAACTCACAAATGATGTTTCAAACAAAAAGTACATTTCACTTTAAATAGTCCAGACGTCGTAGATATGCCTCATACCTCAAGAATTCACATAATTCCATACATAAATGTGGCATTATGTACAACCTCTCACTTCTTCCACTCCATTGATGTGGCCTTAGAGTTGCTTTCACTGGCAGCTGTATTTCTATCTGAAGTCTGTTGAGACTGTTAACATTGACCAGACACACACCTATGAAATCTCTCTGACTGGAGTATAGAGTCATAGAGGTTTACAACACTGAAAAGGGCTCCTCAGCCTATTGAGTCTGCACTGGGACAAGTAACTAAAGTCTTAACAAACAAGTAAAAATCTGGGAGACATTTATTCCAGGAGCTTTCATGGCTCAAATGGGATGTTCAGTAGTGAGTACAAAGAATAGAGGAATCAATGGCAGTAGCAATGTGGGACTGATCAGATATAAACCAGAAGTATCAATATGAAAGAAGAATCATAACTAAAAAGAGATAAAATTGGCAAATAGAACAGATGGCAGGAATTAGGGATAATAAAAGAATGAACTCCAGAAATGCATGGGGAATAGTCAACTGTGTTTTAGATGTGGCTCAAAATGCTATTTGTGATGAACTATCATAAACCAAGTAATACTGGTCTTGAAGATTCAGAATAGTGAGGGTGATACTGATCAGGCAGAGCAAATTGTACCGGTAACAAACAGCTTCATCCCAATAATGAAATGTTTTCAGTAATGAATGGATTCATTCCATTTGACAATGGCTGAATGCCTGCAGTGTGTGGAGTGGCTTAGTTAAAATGTTACTGAGACTCTTTAAAATAATAAAGATTGAAGTGAAGTTAAAGAATTTGAGAGTTTCAGCTACTCTGGTTAAGGAATGACAAAGTCTATAAAATAGAGCAAATCACTTTATCAACACAGACATGGTGTAAAGTGTAAAACCTTTACTGTTAAATAGGCCACCTACAAAAATGGCTGAAATGAGAAATGGAACACAACAAGGCAATTGATCTTGGGAACTCAGTAGATTACACAATCTGTACATTATTGAATTGCAGTTTCCCTCATCACTCCTCACAGTATAAGAACTAAATATGAAAATATATGTGAAGCTCAAAAAAAAGTAGAAAACAGTGTCTCCCCAGTGGCTCACTAAGTAGATATACTAGTCTTACACGGTAATTGTCTATAAACTACTCAATCCCAATTGTTACTCCTTATCCAACCCTTCATCAATATTAATGATCATCCACTTTACATTATGGGGGGTACAACAGATTATACCTTACGATGTTTGTGTAGATTTCCCTTGGTCAAATTGTGAATATTTTTGCTGCTCCTAATGCAATACCAAATTGGTGCAACAACCCCCTAAATTCCTTCCCACCTTTTCTCTTCCCTGCTACCCCTCATTTCTGGCACCTTCTCCATCCTATTCCGCATTACTGTAGGGAATCAGAGCACCAGCAGCACTTCCCTGACCCACCTGACAGAGACCGCATTTAATACCACAGGGTAAATGCTGAGAGAATGTTTCCTGAATGGCCCTGTTTAACAATAAGCTTGAATGTATGCATGGTTCTCCCAATCACACAACCTAATCATGGGTGTCAGATCTATTGAAACCCCAGAGTAAAAGCATGATGAGGAACGTTGATGCTTCTCTACAGATTCCACAGATTTTTTTTTGATGTCCTGGCTGATAATTGAGAGCATCCCAATGGAAGTTAGTAGATTATAAGTGAAGCAGACACTTCTGGAATTCTATAGCCAAGATGAAAAATCTGACTCTGTTTCTATTTCTGTTTACTTTATAAAATGAACAAATGAACAAATGAAAAACTACAGCACAGGAATAGGCCCTTCGGCCCTCCAAGCCTGTGCGAAACCATCATGTCCTAATTAATCTAAAAACAAACCTGCCATTTTTTGATCCGTATCACTCTATTCCCTCTCTATTCATGAACCATCTAGGTGCCTCTTAAATGTCTTCAATGTGCCCGCTTCCACCATCTCTTCTGTTAGTGCATTCCAAAATGCTACCACTCTCTGTGTGAAAAGCATCCCTCGCACATCTCCCTTAAACTTTCCCCCTCTCACCTTGAACCTGTGTCCCCTTGTAATTGAAACTTCAACATTGGAAAAAAGCCTATGACTATCTACCCTATCTATGTCTCTCATAATTGTGTAGACCTCTATTAGGTCTCCTCTCTGCCGCTGTCTTTCCAGTGAAAACAATCCAAGTCTTTTTAACCTTTCCTCATAGTCAATGCCCTGGAGACCAGGCAACATCCTGGTGAATCTTCTCTGTACTCTCTCCAAAGCTTCCACATCCTTCAGGTAGTGTGGTAACCAAAACTGCACACAGTACTCCAAATGCGGCCTAACATGCTTTGCCAACTCTTGTACTGCGTGCCCCGGCCAATGAAGGCAAGCATGCCATATGCCGTCTTAATCACCTTGGCTACCTGTGTTGCCAATTTCAGGGAACTGTGGACCTGCACGCCCAGATCCATCTGAATGTTCATGTTCCTAAGGGTTCTGCCATTTACAATATAATTCACACCTAAATTTGATCCTCCAAAACGTATCACCTTGCATTTGTCTGGATTAAACTCCATCTGCCATTTCTGTGCCCAAGTCACCAATCTATCTATATCCTGTTGTATACTTTCACAATCGTTGGCACTATCAGCAACTCCACCAATCTTCGTGTCATCTACAAACTTGCTTTTCAGGACACCCACATTTTTCTCCAGATCATTTATATATGCTATAAACAACAAAGGACCTAAGACTGACCCCTGTGGAATACCATTAGTTACAGTTCTCCATTCTGAAAAACATCCTTCCACCGCTACCCTCTGTCTTCTGTGACCAAGCCAGTTTTCGATCCATCTAGCCAGGCCACCCCGAATCCCTCATGATTTTAGCTTTTGTACCAACCTGCCATGTGGGATTTTATCAAATGCCTTACTAAAGTCCATATAAACTACATCCACTGCCATTACCTCATCAATTATCCTCGTTACCTCTTCAAAAAATTCATTCAGGTTTGTAAGACATGACCTTCCCCAGACAAAACCAGCTGCCTATCACTAACTAGTCCGTTTTCCTCCAAATGCGCATACATTGTCATGCAATATGCAATATCGTCAATTCTTAACTTCAAGACAGTAAGTAAACCTGGCTATTACAGGCAATAAATTCCTACTTTCTTGGATTATTTGTTAATTGATTTGAATTACTAAGACATTTAGTCTGTTTCATAAGAGGCAGTTCAGGGAAGGTTTGCTCTGATGATTGCTGGAATGGATGAATTGACTTATGAGCAAAGGTTAAACAGTTTAGGATGCTATCACTGGAGTATTTAGAAAGAGGAGAGGTATTCTCATTGATTCTTAGTAAGATTGACAGAGTAAATACTGATAGGATGTTTCCCTCGTGGGAAAGTCTGGGACCAGAGGGCATAGTCACAGAATAAAAGGGTGCCAATTTAAGACTGAGATGAGGATGAGTTTCTCCTCTGAGATTGTAAATCTTTGGAACTTCTTGCCGCAGAGAGTTGTGAGACCAGAATCCTTGTGTATAATTATGGCTGAGATAGGTAGATGGATTATTGAACAGTAGGTGAAAAGAGGTTTACACGTAAAGGCCAGGAAAGTGTTGGATCAGCCATGATCCTAATGAATATTGGAGGAATCTCAAGGGACCAAATGACCTATTCCTGTAAGTTTTTCTTATGATCTTGTAGGCATATAAATATTTCAGTGATTATGTATGGACATTTCCTCTAACATGGCAAAGCTGTTTATGAGAAGTTTTTCCAACAGAGGGAGAAAAAATGGTCGTCATTGAGTGAAGGAACGAGGTTGAAGCCGCAATGCTGTATTTCCTCCAGCCTGTTTACTTTGGATTTGCTTCCTTCCTGTAGTGCTATCCATACTGATCATTGACAGGGCCATTGTGCTGTTACTTCCTCAATGTATTTGTTTGCAATGACAACAATTCAGAATGTTTTCCGAATATTTAACATTCAACATGCTGAAAGAGGACAGAGATGAAATCTGTTGTCACATGGTTAATCATTAAATTTGCAAAAGATCACTGGAAATGTCCTAACTGTCCATCAGACAGTACAAAAAGAACATTATTACCTCTGTTTAGAATTGATGTCACTCAGGATATGAAACATTTGCAGTTAAAGGCAAAGATGCTGAACCTGGGAATGTATAAACGGGCTTGATTTGTCTCAGGCTGAGATTCAAGTGCACTGTTTAAAATTTGTGTGATTCTCCATCTTATAATTTGAGCACAGCTGTTAATCCTGCTTATTTTAAATGGGTTAACATGGTTTTCACCAGAATGGTAAAAACAGGAATCTGTGGAAATGTATTTACTGGGGCAGAGATGAAACTAAACCAACTGCCAGTGGTTGCTTCATCATCTGTAAATATTCCTTTTAAAACTTCAAACTGCCAGTGAGTCATACTATCATGTCATGCCTATTTTTCTGCACATTTTTGTTGGTCATATTTATATATTCTTGTTTAGATGAGTGCTAATGACGTTAGGAACGCAGCCTGAATGAGTCACTACAAATTCTCCCTTTGTGTGGGAGATAAATGAACCCAAAAACTAAAGATGCTGAGACAGCGCTGTTCAGTAACTGTATCTCTGCTGATATTAATCTTATTTCTCCACACTGCCAGCATTGACAATTATCTTGGGCTCATTTACTATCAGCACTCTAATATCTTGTACTTAATGTTCGTAGAAAAGCATTAAACGGAATATTTCAGTCAGTGAGAGGATTGTGCAGATTCAGAGAACTTGCTGAGTGTTACAAAACATGGGAAACATTTTATATTAAAAAAGTAATAACAGGATAATCTAACATATAATAATTTCTTCAAGAAGAAAAAAATAAGAGAGTGGAACAGGAAAAAGAGAAAGACCATATCAGAAGCTTATAAGTTCTGCATATTTTAATGGCGTAATTCAAAGAATAGTGACTGGCGAACTGGCAATTTAAACAATTAGTCTTTTTTAAAAAATTTAACTTTTTTTTTCCAATCAGCCTGTTCAGAGATGTTATTACACACCTCTGGAGCACGTGGAACTTGAACTTAGGTTTCTCGATCCAGAGACACTACTACTAAGCCACAAGAGGGCCAACAATTAGTTTATACACAAAAAAAGGTCCTTTAACCAAAAATAAGAATGATCAATTAACTGTTTTTGGTGTTAATGTTGGTTAAGGGATGCTAAATTTGTCAGCACTCATGTGGATTGGATCCAAGAATTAATGGCACATTTGAGGCAGTTAATGCAATATCTGACGATGGAGAGCAGCCATGGATGTTATTTGAAGTGTTGTTGCAAATCAAACATTGTAAACTCCTTTAATGACTGGAGCAGGGCTTAAACTACTCGCACTTAGAACACAGTCGCGGGGGGAAGTAGTATTTTCTAAGATTACTAAAATAGCACCAATTTTCACAGATGTTAATCTCCACTGCTCTTTCCATTTCAAATTGTTTTGTGTATTCCTCCTCTGACTAGGAAAGTACTTCCTGTTAATGGGAAATAAACTTTAAAATGAAGTATTCTGACTTTTGTTCTTTGCAATGGCCCTTAATCACACTCAACGAGTACTCCCTTATTTTTGGTGCAGATGACCATCTTGAGCCAGGAGCAATGGGATGAAATGTTGGCTATTACTGGACTAACTGGTAAGATACCTGTCCAAGCTAAATTCAGCCATTTCTACAATGGGTAATAATGAACCCATTACATCATTTGAATGAAACTATTGTGTCCACTATTTTAACGGAAGTTTTCAGAATAGACAGATCAACACCTTTGCTGAAATAGAAAGGATGCAACTATCAATACATCACAATATTTGATACCAATATTGCACAGTAAAAACCATCTTAAATTAGCATGCAGGTAATGTTCACACATGAAAGTCAGAGTTCCTCCAAATCATCTTTTATAGCAACCGGTAAATAATACAGCAAAATGTATTTGTTTTATGTCATTCATGCCCAAAATATCTCCAGGCGTGTCAGATGTATGGAAACACTGGATGTTGAGTGAGCAAGATTACAAGGGAAAGAGGTATGTATTAAATCTTCAAGCAGCAGAAGAAAGTGGAAAGGTGGAGTAATTTAAGTAACTTAAATTAATCCCGAGTAATCCCGAGCTTGAGTTGTGAATAACCGAAGATACAGGGGGTGAAATTGTTGAAGGAGGTTAAAGAAATAGGGAGGGTGAAACTACGGAAAGATGTAAACTTAAAAATGACACTTGTAAATTTAAGGCATTAGTAGATAAGCAGTTAATGACTTTCAGTGAAGCCAGAGGTAATGGCTCTCAGGGTTTGGACAGAATAGATATAAGAAACAAGGTTTTGAATGAGATATCACTTATGGGGCTGAATCTTACTAGAAAGTGGCTAGGGTTAGGGCTTTTCAGTGAGTTTCCTGCAGTTTTTCTCTGCACGAGCTCTAGCAACTTTCCTGTGGCGCCCAACTCATTGTCTTGTCTAACTTGCCACAGGCTAAAGTTCTGTCCACTGCCACGACCTCTTGGAATTCCTGGCATAATTTTTAAAGCTCAGCCAGCACCCAGTCAAGGACAGGCAGTTCGCAGATGCCCTGGTGCATTTGGTTTTATTTTCCTTGGACATGTTGGACAGAGGGCAGTTGGCACCCTGTTTTGCCAACAGGGACCTGGAGGTCCTGCTGGATGGCAGAGGGGTAGATGTGCAGTCACTGCCCATGGAGTGTGCCCTGGAAGGTTGGTGACTGATATGGACCGGAGGAGCTAGCCCCAAGCTGGAGTTGCCAGGTTACGGCTCCAATTTTCACGTCAGGAATTGTCGCCCTCCATGCAACAGGTGAGAGAATGAGGAACTGTGTATCAGTGAGGCATGATGACAAAAATGAGATGCTAGTGCATGCAAATAAGCTTCTCACTGTTCACAGAGTGAATCTTATCTCGTTGTTCAACACTTGTTGGAAAATAGGATGTTTTGCTCTCAACAGCAGAGAGCTCCTCACTGCTGATGTCATGCAATTCTCCCAACTTCCTCAACAATCCATGTCATGCATGGCTGGGAAAATTCAGCCCAAAGAGTGTCAAGAATGGAAGGCAACCAGGAGAGGATCTGGACATGAACATGGATTTTAGTGGCAGACAGGATAGAGGCAGGGAGTGCTTGGAAATAGAGATTGGCAATGTTTGTCTGGGTGATAAATAAGCTTAGCTCAGCGTTGAATAGGGTGCTGATGTTACAAACAGTCCAGTTCAGCTTGACATTAGCTGAGGAGGGAGATCAAATTCACGTCAAAGGAACAAAGATCATGGCAGCGGCCAGATACAGTGGTTTCAGCTTTCCTGATAGTTAGCTGCAGGAAACTGCAGGTCATTCAAGACTGCATGCCACATAAGCATTGTAACAGCACTGAAACTTGGTGCTTTGGAGATGTCACATTAGAATGGGTTTGGAGTGAGGAGGGCGTTATTTCAGTGAATTTGCATCCAGTTAAACACATAATCAGAGTGTACAGCAAACAGCTGATGAACTCAATCAGGCTGAAGCACAAGTGCTTGATATGCACTTAATTATGCCCAAATTTTCTTGATCATTTGTGTTAATTCTCTCGCTCGAACACATCTTAAGGGGAGCCAATGGTTTTTAAAATAACATTTCCTCACTATGATCTGTTACCCAAATGCTCCTTTTTTTTGGCATCATTGTAAGTCTCATTAAAAAAATTGAAAAGTTCCTGCAGTTACAGATTCCTGTGCTTTGCTTAATGCGCAGACTGATAGCTGGCCTAAAACTATAAGTCTGATATTTGAAGAAGGAATAACTGTTTTGAGTTCAGCGCTTCCCACGTGTCAAATTGTTGATGCTGTCTTCATTTTCCTTCCATTGAACTTTACATTCTGCTGCATGCTAGAAATTGGCAGGAAATTGAAGAGAAAATGGATGTTGTAAAAATGGGTTTACAATCGGAAGTACTTTATTTAACATTGCAAATAAGCCCCCACAGGAAATTCCATTCCATATTTTCTAACTGGTGCTATTTCCGTAAGAATGCTGGCTTTGTTTGTATAAGGTTGCCATGGGCACTGTTTTTAAATGCAGGAACTGACCTATTTGGTTTATACGGAGTATCACCTACATTTAAAGGTTCACAGAGCAAGTTAGTACTGATGAGGTAATTATCCTCCACACAGGAACAGTGCAAGTACTACAGTTCATTTCCGACATGTCCACTGGCGACTGAGATCTGAATTTTTTTTAAACTAGAAATTGGATAAGTGTAAATGTTGGTGATTTTCACTGAGGATTTCTCCCCTTGAGGCCTAGCGGGTTTTTCAAATGCTACCTTCCCGAACTCACCTCATCACCTCTGCACTATGTCCCCGTGGGTCCAACTTCCACAGGCAGAGTTACTGGCCACTGCTGGGTTTTCCCAAGACACAGTGAGAGAAAAAGGGCAAATGAAGACTCTCTGAGGGCACATTTGTGACAAGGGTGACACTTTATTGTAAATAGGTTCTCACTGCGTGCTGACTAACAGCATGTATAAGATTCAATGTGCAGGGCCCAGCTATCCTTAGCACCTCATAGACCTTTATAGACCAAGCTATGGAGTGAGTGGTTCCTGCGCCATATGCAGGCTATGGGAACCTGGAAGATGACCACCACATCCATGGTGTATCTATCTGGGTTACAGTACATTGTGCGGCACAGCCCATTACTGGGATTGATTCCTGATGCTGCACGTGATCAAGAGTGTTTGCACCAGGATTTGTAATCCACACAGTCGATTAATGTCTAAAGTTCACATCCATTGTGAGGTGCTCACAAATGTCTTTCACCTGTACTGTATGGGGGTCTGTGTAATGTTGTGTTGCCCTTGGAGGGCCTTGCATTGTTGAAAGTGGAGCTCCACCTTCACAGAATGAAACACTTACACTGCCCACTGTAGGTGTGGACACAGCATTTTCAGCTCCATTGCACCCTTGTTATTTGTGTCACGATGGAAGGAAACAACAGTTACTCCTCACGCAGAGAGCCACGGACTCAATGTCTACCATCAGGGGAGCTGCCAAATGTACACAGTGCCTTCTTGGTAGCCCTCCCTATCAATCCACTGGCTTTGAACTTTCCCACATTCCCTCCCAACCTCGATATTGAGTCGACATGTCAGATATAGGAGTACGCTGGAGCCTCACCCTGCACCAGAGCCAAGGTGGTGTTGATTGTTGATGACAACCCCGCACATTACCCCTTACCCTTCTATGCTGTATCTTCTGCCACCTACCTTATATGTTGACTTGTCCCCCCTTCACATTTGTTATTTGTATCCCAGCATTCTCCCTCCAACTCCCACCGTTGCGTTCCCTCCCGCAGCATTGGGTCCTGATAACTCCATTGACTTTCGGTGGATGGAACCCTAGGACTGGTTGTGGCCCGACCCTTTGACAGTTTTGGATGGGCGGCCCCCATCTGATGACGAGCCACCCCCTGACTGACTGACTGCAACTCCCAGACATGTTGCCCCGGATCCGTAGGGCTAAGTGGGGCCTGCTCCCCAGACTATAGAGATATGGACCCTTGAATGGCTAAGTGTCACCAAGCCTGTAGGTGGATATCAAAGGCTGCCTTTGTGCCAGGACCCCTCACTGGAGCATATCTCACTTGACTTGACTGGAGACTACTCCCAGACTTTGGGACATGACCGTTTGGTTGACAGACAGGCTTATTGTTTGCTGCCTGGCTGGTGGCACATGGTGCAGGTGAGTGATTGATGTAGCATGGTGATGTACAGCAACATGTCCCACCCTTCACTGATGACTGCTGTCAGCCTTGACCATCTGCCTGGCTTCGTGTCTGCGCCAACAGCAAGGCAAGATGGAAGCACTGTGAACATTTAAGCTCTGGCTGAGGGGACAAACAGCATAAAAAAGGCAAAGTACAGATGCTGTAAGCCTCCAAGGAGGCACAAAGTGATTGAGTACTCAGAGAGCAAGCAAGGAGGCCTGAGAAGTTGCCTGATCCCATCCATTACACTGGTACCTGTCCGCAAAGTCTCCTGGCAACAGCACTGCAATGATAGGTGCCAGTGCACTCCAAAGGTCACCTTTAAAGTGCAGAACTTTCTTGCAAGCAGAACAGAGATGTGCCATGAGGGTCGGTGGGGCTGGTACTTGTCAGGTGCCAAGGACGGTGTACGGGGAGGGATGCGTGAGGTTGCTGCCCGTGGAATGTACCCTGAGATGTTGGTGCCCAAGATGGAAGTCTGGTGGAGCAAGTGGAGAGCTACAGTCACTCTGACTTTGATGTTAGGAAATGTCGCTGTGTTATTTCCATCCAGGGGGTGGGAGAATAGGAAACCGCATAATAATGAGGTGAGGTTAGGTAATCTTGAGAATCTTTGTTCCTCTCTGGTGTTTAAACTACTAAAGCATGCAGGGAAAAGCTCCATAATTACTATCAAAGCAACCAAAACCTTGCTCAATAGTCAGCATTCAGCATGTTGGAAAATGAGAGGTTTTTTCTTGTGACAGCAAGAAGATCCTTACTGGCCATCCCACACCAATTTCCCAACTTACTCAACAATGCCCACACCATTCAGGGGCTTGGAAACTTCCATCCTGAGAGATTGTAGTATGGGAGTGGTGTTCTCCAAGGAGTTTGACATTCGATGAACATTTAAAAAACCTGACTGATTTTTCAAATGAATGAACCTTTAACAGGTCAAGAAAAGGCAAAAACAACATTTGGATTCCTCTGTAAGTCCAGCAGCCATGTTTCTTTTCAGTCCCTAAAGTCAAACATTTTGCCAGTTTACGTCAACAATTGGCAGGAGATAGGCCTTGTTTAGTTTGGTTACCGCAACAAAAATACATTTGTAATCATGGCATTTCCAGAATTGCAAACACTTTCCTCCTTACTGTAGTCATTACCAATGAATGTCTGCCAGCGTTGGTGAACACCAGTATATTACAACCTCCATTGCAAAACAGATACAAGTTGTGCCACGTCAATACCCCTTCAAGCTAGCAGCATGTACTCATTCATACACCACACCCTCAGCAAATTAGGAGAGAAAGTTGACATGCACACAAATCAGTAGCCACAGAAGAAATTAGAAGTGTGATGACAGAACCCAAATGACCATGTGATTCCGTGTGGAAGCTCAGTTTGATAATGTATGCCCTGAGGTGACATGTTGTAATTGACTAATGAGCAAGGTTTTGGTTGCTTTGATAGTAATTCTGGAGCTTTTCCCTGCATGCTTTAGTAGTTTAAACACCAGAGAGGAACAAAGTTGAAATAGGTATTGATAGTAGAGCAGCTGACCAGAACGTCATGAGGTAAAAATTCCACCACGGTGATTAAAACAAATCTGGCAGTTTATGAGCTGGCTCCTTTTATTGATCAGGAAAGGTGTTGGATTGTAGTAAAACCTTGGTTAATTCAATGATGTCCATCAGAAAACAATAACAATAATAACTTGCAATTAGGCAATTAGTGAAATACTTTTCAGACCTTCCTCAAGGGTGTTATCTAACCATATGTAATATTGGGCCAGGTATGGAGATCTGAAGTTTAGATGAGTAAAAGATTGGTCAGTGCAGCAGGTTTTAATGAGAGGTGGTCAGCATTAAGGAATGAATTCCACAGTCAGGACCCTGACAACTGAAGGCACAGGAGACAAGAGCGGAAAGAGTAAGATCAAACATATGCAGAATGCCAAAACTAGATGAGCACAGATATCTTAGAAGGTTGTAGGCTTAGAGGAGAATGTCTTTTATTGTTTTCATGTGATGTGGCTGTAAGCTAGTCGGCCAGCCTTTATAGGAACATAAGAGTTGGTGTAGGCCATTCAGCCCCACCAACCTGCTTGGGCATAGTCTGCTCCACCATTTTAAATCCTGGCTGATCATTCACCTCAGCACCAAATTCCCACACTATCCCCATATTCCTTGATATCATTAGTGCCTAGAGATCTATTGACATATATCTTGAACTTGCTTCATGTATGGACTTCCACAGTCCTCTCATGTAAATAATTCCAAAGCTTCACCATCCTCTGAATGAAGAACTTGCTGTTCGTCTTAATCCTAAATGGTTTGCCTCTGCTTCTGAGACTGTGTCCCCTGGTTTTTGACCTCACAGCCAAGGAAGCAGCCCTTGTGCATTGATTCTATCTGTCTACATAAGTTTCTATGAGATTGCTTCTCACCTCAAGTGACTACAGGCCCAGCCTCCTCAATCCCCACTCATAAGATCCCATTATCCCAGGATTCAGTCTGGTGAACCTCTGCTGCACACCCTGTCTGGTGAGTATACCCTTCTTTATGCAAGGGGACCAGAACTACGCACAACACTCGTTGCAGTTTCACCAGTGTTCTATACAATTGGAGCAGGTCTTCCCTGCTCTTGTAATGTAATCCTACTATAAATTTTCATTAGCAAACACTGATTTTAGGTACATGGGATTTGTTGTAAATAGTGACATGGCCAGCAGAATTTAAGGTAAGTTTAAGGAGAATAGAACACTGGAGACCAGCTAGGAATGCATTGGAATATTCAGGCCTAGAGGTTCAAAGGTCTTGAGAGTTTCAGCTACGAATGAGAAGCAGTGGCACAGTTTGTTCTGTCCTACACACGACATCAGTCAACATGACATGATTAGCTCGTAATATCTTTGCAACAGCTGGGGGTTGTACAATAGTTGTTGATAAGCCTGTATCTCAATAATAGCAGAATATTGAAAGCATAATGAAAGAAAACCTGACCATGCCAAACACATAGTGATATCCAATTGTCTTCACAATAAACATAAAATGGCACAAATTCAGTTGATAATTTCACACTCACTTACTTTGGATAATCTATTTTAAAACAAATTTTTATCCTTTTCAGGCAGCTGGAATTAATATGCAACTATGTTACCTCTTTTTGGCAGTGGTGGATGTGTATCAGGCTTGGTGTGGTCCATGCAAGGCAGTCATCAGTTTGTTTCGGAAGATTAAAAATGAACTAGGGGATGATCACTTGCATTTTGCTGTGGTAAGTCACTCAATATTATTGTGGCGTTTTGGAGAGGCAGTTTGTTTCCCACACCACTGGATATCATTGTCACATTGTTCAAAGATGGCTTAAAACAAGAGAACCAGAGTTAAATTTTGAGACCAATATGACTTGTTCAGAGCCCAAAGCTGAAATGTTTGAACAGAATTCAATCAGAAAGAGAACTTCAAGGGTATACCTGGAATACACGTGGCACTGAATTAAATATTCAGGCAAAGTGCTGTGGATACTGGAGATCTGAATTTTGAAGAAAACGAAGTGCTGGAGAGAGTCAGCTCGTCTGGGATCATCTGTGGAGAGAGTTAACATTGAGTCCTGTATGACTCTCCTTTGGGGCTCAAGGTTCTATCATACGCAACTTGGTTTCTCCAGCACTTTCTGCTTTTATTTCAGCACTCCAGAAACCTCGGTATTTTGCTTTTACTTTATGGCATAAACAAGTGCCATTCTTCATGAAGGAAGGCCAAGCAAAGGCTTTAGCCAAGAAATGTGGAGATGCCGGTGTTGGACTGGGGTGGACAAGGTCAGAAATCACATCACGCCAGGTTATTGTCCGACAAGTTTATCTGAAAACACAACTTTTCGAAGTCTTATTCCTTCTTCAGGTGTTAATGAGAGAGGTAGTAGCAGGCACATGATTTATAAGTAAAAGATCAAACGGTCACACCGCTGCTGAGGGTGTACTAAACAAATCTCAGATGCTGTTAAATATTTAATCAGTTAGAAGGTTTCAGTTGATTAATATGTACATGTATATGTAAATCCCCAAATTTCTTTGAAG